TAAAAAAAGTCATTATTAAAGGCAAACACAATTTCGACAATTCGCGAAAGGGCAACGAGGTTCGCAAAATTTATCGTAAACGTTTGCCTTTCTTCGCTTGATTCAGAAACCGCGTTATGAAAATAATGCGTAGAATAGTAACTTAGTCGTCTTGATGTGTGACGCCGGCGAGTCCGCCGAAGACACGCTGTCGAGTTAGTGACGAGGGGACAGAAACAACTGCTTCATTCTTCTACGCATCAATATCAGCACAACCTCATTCGAGCTTTCAGCGCGCGGTTTTTGAATTAAGTGAAGAAAGGCAAAATTTTAGCGATGAATATCTCAGTACAGAACGAGTGGGTTGGTCGAGATAATTAAGCTTGAGGAAGAAAACGAGAAGGGACGAACAAACACAACAAAAACGAGCGCTTTGCTGCTTTCGCTCAAAGCTCGTTGTTTGCTCGCCAACTTTCTAAATTGGGTTGGCCTTTAATAATGGCTCCCTTTAAAGCTGCAATTGCAACATGGTTTATTAAATCGTTCATTAACCCTTCGCCTACCGCAAAAATAAAAAAAAAATTAAAAAAATACTGATTTTTTTATGTGCCCTATACTCCGTTTCACCTCGTGTTGTACCGCAGGAAAGGCTACAAGCGCGAGCTCCTTGCTCTAAGGCACATCTCGGCGGCACAAGCTCTCGTGCACCAAGGGCAGCTGCAAACGCTATGAGCTCGCGCTTCCTTCGCTGCGGTACAAGATAAGGTGAAACGGAGTGTATAAAATCGTGGTACCGACACGTGCACCGCTCAAAGTGAAAAAAAAAAAAAAAAAAGGCGGGCTGCGCGTTTTTTTTTTTTTTTCGGACAACTCGACCACAGCGCCGCCACGAACCGTCAGTGCACGCGCCCTCACGAGCTCCTGTTGCCGAGCCGCTCCGGTCCCAACACTACCCAAGTATTCTATAGAATTTAGTAGTCCGGCGTCGGGTGCTCGTGCTCACGAGCACGTGAGCACGTGCTTCCGTGCTCGTGTAGAGAAAAAAAAACGCATCTTCATGTGGTTAATAATGTTGATTGGGGCGAAGCTCTGGTGGTGCTTGTCTGCACGGTGAGCCGCAGCATGCCGAGCCTTTCGTTCGTTTTCATCCATGTCAGAAAGAGAATGTGTGGTATGGAACGTGGTTATATACGCATTTGAGCATTTGACCGCAGCGTGACATGGATGGAAACGAACGAAAGGCTCTGCATGCTGCGGCTCAGCGTCTACGCGGACAAGCACCACCAGAGCTTCTCCCCAATCAACACCATTCACCACGTGGAGATGCGGTTGTTTTTACCTGGCCTCTTGTCAACAACTCAATATTATTGCGCTGTGCGACGTGTACTTCAACGCTCTTGACCTTTATGATTGATTTCTGTTCATAAACATCAAGAGGAATGTCTGGTTTCTCACAACTTTCACCGTAGTGTGCCTAGAAGCTGGCTCTTGGGTAAGTTTTTTTTTTTGCTTAGATGTGCAAGCAGATGCAAACTCCTCCACAAGACTACGTTTCCTTGCGTTTCTAGCCTTTACTCGTTCTATTTTGGAAATATATTTGTTCAGTGGATGAGATATACTCTTTCCTGTTAAATGATCCAACTGCATTACGGTGCCAGCTCGCTCCATAGGGTAAGTTCAGCGCGGCTCCGTGGCATCGATGCTGGTGGGATCCCCACTGCGAGCGTTGGATTTCTTGCCTCCTGCGTACTTTTCAACTGAAGACATAACAGACTCCGCAAGATTGCTCGTGCTGTTGGTGATAAGGCAATGAGCCTTGTCAGCGATTTGATTTGCGGCAGACATTATTTTTGTTTGCAGCATATTGTCAAAAATGACGAGTTGAAACAAAGAATAACTGGGGAAACTGAAACGATAGCTCGAACTTGTGCTCAAAAAAAAAAAAAAAAAAAAAAAGGAAGCGGAAGGTAACAGCAGTGCGTCGCGGGCGTCGAAGTTGGCGTAACAGCAGAGTCGAACGCTGGGGCGAGACCAGGGTGTAAGATAGACAGGTGGCGAAACGAGAGCCAAATCAGCGACCGGATTGTGTCCCCCTCGGTTTTCTCTTTTTCTGTGGCGCCATCTATGTGGAGCACCGCGAACTCTCACTCCGGGTGGGCGACCGGTGGCGACCGGCTAAACTGACGAAGATGATTTCTCGTGGATTTTCAATGGAGGACTGTCGTGCTCTCAGTTTATTTTGCGCACTCTCCAATAGAGTTCCATGCAAATTCGATTCCAATTTTCTTCTTCTCGCCGCAGCGCCATCTGTCGCAAATCGGAGGTACCCGCAAGCCTCCCGCAAGCAGACGAGTACACAATCCGGTCACGGCGCTGCGGTAGGTTTCTATGGGCCGTTTCCCCACCTGTCTATCTTACACCCTGGGCGAGACTGACCCCGGCTCGCCACGCGGAGCACATTTTGTACTCGCGTGTGTTTCTGAAGAATTCCGCCTAGAACACTCGGCGCGTAGAACATTTGGAACTCGATCAGAGGAGAATGTTCTAGAACTTATGAGAACGTCAAGAAGTTGAAAGTATAAACAAATACTTTACTAGGGGGAAATACATTCCACTCCGCTCATTTGCATTAGACAGAACGCCTACAGCGCCGAATCCCGCCCTGACGGAGCAAAGGTCCGCGTCAGTTCACGCGGATGTGCATCTGGATGTTTGCGGCAGCCGCGACGGTGTCGTCGCCGATTCCACCTGTATTTGGTATAAATAAAAGGGCAGTCCGCTGACTGGAATCGAACCTACACTGAAGGCCTTCCATGTTTCAAAAGTAGCGCAAGGTGCGTCGACGCACGAGTCACGTGTAACATGCCTCATGCACCGACGCACCTTGGGAAGATCATGGCGGCAAAGCGCAGCAAAGTATTTGGCGCGGTAGCGCAGCACTAAGCTTGATTTTAGACGCCATGTTCTTCCTTCAAGTGCGCGCGGCACGTGTCTCGAGTATTTCCACAACAATGAATTTGGTATGTAGAACGACCACCATCATCATCATCGTGTACCGCCCGAGAGCCAAAACCTCCCCGACGATAGATGGCTCTCACCAAGTCCAGAAAACCTGTCCACGCCGAGGCTGTTGTATTTGAAAGGAGTGGAATGTATTCCCTCTACTAGTAAAGTATTTGGTATAAATAAAAGGGCAGTCCGCTGACTGGAATCGAACCTACACTTTCCGCACAACAGTCAAGCGCGGTAACGACTCGACCACGCACGCGCTTGCTCGCCGATGCGCGTGGCAGTATAAGGCATTGCTGTAGACATCTGTCCTTGTTGTGAAATCGCAAAAGTAGCTTTTGCAGCATTCATAATGGCCAAAGACGTGTTTAGGACCATTTATTATTTCAGTCTGGAGCTGCCTCACAAGATCTTTTATGTACCTCAGTCGGTCTTGAGGGATTCCTTCCTTGCCAGTTTGACAGCCGTGTGGCATGATGTGACACAGCCTTCCGAGCATCATTTCCAACTCTAACAAGAAGAATAGCGACGACCGCAGTGACCACAGAGAAGCATGCAACGATGGCGACGACAAATTACACCCACTAACGTCGTCGTCCTTATGCAGCCTCATCATCTAATCATTACCTCGTGATCTCGTATTGCTCTTCATCAACAGTAAGTACAATAGGTTACCGCCATATTACAATCAAAGAATTGAAAAATTGAGTCGTTCAGTCCTTCATTATGTTTATTATTTTCATAATGTTATTACGTTACATTACCTCGAGACAATCGACGTCCATTGTCGATCTTGAAATATACTTGTATATAAATTAAACGCACAATCACGAAGAACACAACGTACCCCCTCTTTTTCTTTGAATCGTCTTTTTCAAACCAGCGCAAGGTCGCGCGTTCTTTCAATTTTGACGACGGTTAGAACGGTCGCACATAAAACCCGCGTATGTGCTACCCGGCCGCTTCGTCCTCTCATTATGTCTAATTGGTTATAACTAAATAAGCTGTAATAATGGTGTAATATTTTTATTTAGTTTCAGTTAGGGGAAAGGAGGGTCGCGGGGAGAATGATAAAAAGGCAGGAGTCAAAAGGTAGTGGTTTGTGGAACCCACGGGGCTTACGTCATGGGCCCTCCAGGTGTTACAACAAGCTCATTGAACCAACGTTACTGGAGTAACGTTGACGTGAACAAGGGCATGACAAAAATCAACACGTTTACCGGCGAGTGTTTTTGGATTTTATCGGATTTATCCGAAAACGCAGAAGCCACATTGGCGATATTTATCTGGGACCATTTTTTTTCTTGTTTGTATTTGGAACCATTAGTTCCGGGACCGTTAGTTCCGGGGCCATATGTTCCGGGACCATTGACTCCGGGATCAATTGTTCCGGGACCATTTGTTCCGTTTCCCCTTCGCCTCCTATTCCTGGGCGATCTTTGACGTGCCGTAGGTCAGATCCTCATAATCTGTCAAGCAAGGAGCGCCATATATCTCTGGAATAGTCTATTGTAGAGTCACTGAACAGGTTCAGTTCAGTGATGCTAATCTATTGCAAGCATAACAACGGGCCACCGCCATATTTCTCTCTGCTCGTGTAGTCAAGTACGTGCCACTGCGAGTCTAGCAAAGTTACTCTTCGGTGCACGTGCTCGCACGCATACGGTGTACCGTCTAGGGCATCATGCTTTAGCGAACGCACTGAAACCAAACTACGCGTTTTTCTTCTCTATAAAAATAACGTAGAACAAAAAGAAGCGGCGAGGACCGCTCGAGTGATGGAGGACTCTGTACCACTGTTTCACCCGGGAGATTGACAGATTTGGGATTTCGGTGTGTTCCTGGAATCTTTCCGGAATGTCACCGCCACTGTCCGAAAAGAAAGAACGAGGCACGCGGCTCCGTTCTGCGTGTCACGCGGCGTCGGAGCTCCTATTGTTAACCGAATAACGCACGTTTCGCCATCTTTTTCAGTCGCATCTCATCCCCATGACGAGCTACGCAGGCGGCAGCTGAGGCCATGCCTGGAACGTGGTCGACTAGGATGCTGCTCGTCGTCTTTCAATCCATGCATCTGTGTAAGTTCACCGACTGGTTTATCTTATAGTCAGGTGGCGAGTTAAGAATGCGGCAGGAGCTCCTCTCACGCCCTCATTACCGCCGGCCAGTGTTCATCCGCGGGGCGTAAGTACTCCCCTACCGAGGCGCGCACGTCACGCTGACATCTGTGGGGATCGGTGCATATACTGCTCAATCGCAGGAATCGAGACAAGCTAGACGCAGAAAAATAACAAAAGCACGTATTTCTTAAGTGCATATTTGAGATCTCCTGGGGACCTTGCATGCTCTGGGGTTTTCGTAAACTCGCCGTTTTAGCAGTCACGTTTTTAGCTTTTTTTCCCTTTGTGTGACTACTCTGGGTCCATCCCTGATGTGATACCAAGATTTCATATGACACCGCGCTGCTAACTTGCTTGCGTTTTTTTAAGAGAACAAGAGAGGAAGCACACTGTCGTTGTCATATTGCTTAATTCTCTCGGAAACTAACCAAAATCAACGTGTCTCAAAAAAAAAAAAATCCTTTTTACACGACAGAGTGTCGTTCCTTGACAATTTTTATAGCAGCGTCGTGAGACAGCACTTGCGTTTTAATGGCATTTTTGGTTGCGAGAAATTCCAGCTCCTAGCTTTATCTTCGGAAGTTGTCTTTGTTGAGCGAGAGTTCATGCGGCCGAGGTGCGTCCCAAAGAGCTTGCGCTTGTGGCGTAGAAGTGTGATTGTCGATTGCTAGGTAAGTAACACTAAAGTCATTACTAAAGTCACTGGATCCTGGGAAAGTAGCGCCCAGCTTCTCGTATGGTCGCCACTTTGGTCCGTGATTGGCGACGTGCGCGACCGAAAGCGTCGCTGTGGTCGGCCTTTCACGATTGGCCCAAAAGCTGACTATGACGTCGGAAAGGGTATACCATCGACGCAAATAAGAAGAATGAAGGAACTTTAATTTAGACGGTGTTGGCAGTGTTCCTTTGAGAGCGCAATGATTTCAGGCTTCCACCATGCTATTTACAAACACCATCGAACTTGTTGTTCGCAAGGTAATGACGTCACAAGGGGGAACCATAGGAGGGCGCCACCAAAACATCTCGCCGCTAATATGAGCAATTTCTCCGTGACCTTTCCGTTCTTGGTGAGCCGATCTAAATTCGCTGGTGACGGGTAGCTTTAAGGAGACATTTCTTGTATACTGAGATTTTTCGATCCACACACCGGCGAAACAAGCGTACATATTCGTACTACCACCAAATGCTGTGTCGGTGCTTGGAGGCACTGAAAAATAAGTTTACTGTGTTAAAATACGCAAGAAAAGCAATATAATTTTAAGAGATTCGTGGAGATGGGCATGATTGCTAAGTTGATTGTATACCCTGCCAAAGACGCTTATATTGGCGGGGTACGCTTCCAGTACGATGATGATTCATGGGGATCTTGGCACGACTTGTTTAGAACGGCCGTCGGGAAGCTTCGAAGATTTGAATGGACCAAGATGGCGAATTCCATGGCAACGCAGAACGATGAGCCAATCGCCTTGCGAGGTTTCGGTCGTCTGTATGTTAGTATATGTTTGTGTCGGGATAGCAGGTAGGGAAGGCAACGACGCTACTTTCCCATGATCCAATGACTTTAAACAACACGAGAATGAACTGAGAAGCAAAGATTAAGACGAAATAAGCGTGTTTGCGCTTGGGACAGGTCGGGTATCCAGCAATGATGACTTCATGTGCAGGCCTCGTGTTCTCGGAGGTACATTGCCTCGCCGGACACCTCGTTGTACCTGCTCACGCGCACGACCATCCGAGCAGACGAACATGCATGCCGTGTGGCCATAAACCTCGAGAAAGTCATTAGAGGGTCTGAAGAATGCGAATTTCAGTTTCATCGTGCCAAGGAGGCTCGTCGTAGACGATGTATACAAATGATGCAGGCCCACGAACGGCATCGAGAGCGGACGCTGAAAATGACGTCAATATCCTCAAACTCCTACACAGGGCAGACATGACAACGGCGTCACAATTAAAGTGAATTAATTATACGTACGCAGGCGTCAACCTGGCTGTCGCTGTGACACGCGTCACGCTGTAGCGTTAAATGTTCTCGGATTTTTTTTTCTTCCCTCTCATTGACCAACCGTTTCACCCTAAGCCTGACCGCAGGCGACGCTACGATTCGATGTCGTGATGATGATGATAATGAGTTTGCTGTCACAATCTCAACCAATCACGCGCGGAAGAGTGCACAGGATCGCGGCGTGATTGGTTCACTCGGTACAGCAAACCCACTAAAGACTGAACTCCATGGGAAGAATATGCTGCGAAAAATCGACGAATTTTGCGCCTGGCGCCTTTTGCTGTGCGCGTGGAATCACCACAGTGGCTGCTGTGTCGCGCGCAAAGCGAGCGTGCCGTCGGGCGGCGTTCGTCAGTTATTCGTGGCATAATGCGCTCCATGGAGTTCAGCCTTTAGACGATGGACGTCGTGACGATGCACTTCTGGTCCTGATTGATTGGCACCCTCAAGTCGTAGCGTCGGCTCCGTCGGACTGAAGGGAAACAATTACACGGCAATAAATCTCGAAAACGTCATACCAAAAAGAAGCCATTAATTTTTTTAATGTGTTTTTTTGTGTTGTCTCTTTGTGCAGGTCGTGGGAACTCTTCGGATTGGTCATACGATGGGAAACAAGGTAAGGTAATATAGAACCACCGAGGGTCGAGAACAGTTCGGGGGGGGGGGGGGGGGGTGAGGAGGAGAGTGCCAGATGGCTGCAGATTCAGCGGTGGATTGTAACCACTAACCAGACTTGTGCCCGTTACTTGAAAAATGTAATGGATTACCATTGGAAATAACCGAACCTCAAATGAAATGGATTACCGTTACAAATTATTTTCGCTGAAAAGTAACGGATTACTTATCAGCGAAAGTAAAAGTAAAAGTAAGCTCGCGCTACCGAACCCGGAAATCTTCGGTTCAATCCCCACCCCTGCCCGTTTCGATCTGGATGAGCATCGTACGCGGTGTGTGGTCGTGTATCACTACTGCGTCGTGGTGCACGTTAAAGACCGCAGGCTAGCGGTTGTACTGCACTGGCTGAATTGCTTATCTACAGCTGAGAGACAAGTCGCCCGTTGAGACAGACTAAGTTCTACAGTGTATAAATACGCACACACCCCAATTATTCTTTGTTAGACGCTGGCGCGAGCATGGGCTTTGATCTCGCAGATCGTTTGTACGCGTTCTCGAGCAAACGAAAGCATAGATTATGGTTCCTGTAACGCGTCTTTGACTGGTGTGTTTATCGCGACCAAAAATGTCTCTCGATTTCCGCCTAATGACGTCACAGAAGTGTCACACTGTCGCCGACCGCGATCCTGACGGTATCAGACCAGCGGTGGTGGGTGGGTGGCTGACGCCTGTTCAGCTGCAGGTCGCTCTCTAGCTCGACAGTATAGCAACTAGAAGTTGGGACGCCGCGACGACACATCTCGTATGGGAATCTTATATATGACCCCAGATTCTGGGACATATATGGCCATATCAAACATTATATAATTATATACGGCCTATATACAGCCTTATCTGGTTTATATACAGCCTTATATGGCGAATACAAGCCCTTATCTGGAATATAGACAGCCTAATCTGGCGTATATATAGCCTTATCTGGCATACATAACGCCTTATCTGAGGTATATACTTCGTTATCTGGCGTATATACAGCTTTTTCTGGCTGCCGGTTTTCAATATAAAAAAAAAACAAGTAAAAAAAGTGCCTTGTTAGCAAACTGAGTTAGTCATTGTTCGCAAGATAAATAGTAGCACAAATAATCTCAAACTTTAGCACTGGCAAACTTAAAGTTATAATTATTTGTGCTAACTTTGACGACGATTTTAATGTGGCTTAATTATTTCGAATTGTTAACATTACGTCCGAACAGACCATTTGCTAAATCCCCCAAGCGCCTCGTCCCGTACTCTACTCGAGGAATCATGGGAACGGTATTTTTTCAGCTCCCTAGTGATCGGAAAGTTCGACCAATTCCATGGTTATACACAGTTTTGAGTGTCATTCGGAGTCACCCTGAACAAGCGTTGTATAGAACACAAGTATACCTGTCATATCACTTTTAAAATTTCTCGTCAATGTCCGTACTGTGCTGCTGTCCACCCTTCAATCTGGCTGAGCTGCAGTAATCTCTTACATTATTATCATTCTCCTACAGCTACAAAGACGCTGATATTAAGTTAGAAACGCTAAAAATACTATAAACAGCTCCTCTAACTCCAAGCTAGTTCCCCGCTTTTGTTGTTGTGAGTTCCCGGCTTTTAAAGGGACGATGCAACGATTTTTGTATTTTGCGCAAATACCGCTTAGAACGGATCCCTGACGTTAATGACCTGTGAAATGCCCGTTCGTTTTTCACCACACGCAATCGAAGTCGCAGAAAAAAATTAAGAAAAACGAACAGAGTTCACCCCCTCAACTCGCAGCCAGAACAAGCGGTCAAGTGATCTGGAGCCGATTATATGCCGCCAATGTTGATCATAGCCATGCGCTGGGGTTGGCAGGGCACAGCACACGCGCTGCGTTTCAGACATTGTTATGGTTCGGCTTTTGTCGTCATTGCAGCGATTGGAGACAGGACACTACCTGAACGCTTCTCGAGCTATAAATTATCACGAGCCGAAATCGAGTGCCCACGCAATGCTCGGGTCCAATCTATGAACCGCATTCAAATATCGTCACTGGGCGGTACTGCTACCGCCCAGCTACGTCATCAGGTTTTGCGAAGAGATTGAATGAAAACGCCCGGTTTTGTCCTCGAAATTACAGTGCAACAAAGAAGTTTTTTGGGCAGTGGCGTTGCGTGCGAGCATCCTTGTGTCCCACTAGTGCCAGTAAGCTCGTGTAGAGTGAAAACATTCCAATTGAATATCGTTGCACCGCCCCTTTAAGCAAATCCTGCTTAAACAACAATCACGAGAATGATAATATTGTAAGAGATTTCCGCGGCTCAAAAAGGTTGAAAGGTGGATCGCATGCACAGTATCATAAACGCTGACACTGACGAGAAATTTTAAAAGTGATATGACAGGTTCTTGGGCTCTCTGGGACGCTTGTTCAGGGTGACTCCGAAACTACACTCAAAATCGGAACGTCACTATCTATGCCACCTCCTCTTGGCTCCTTCCTTATGCATGCGGCAAGAAACGGCGAGAACCCCCCCCCCCCCCCCCCCCCATCTTCCCTCGCGGACCGGTTGCTCGGACGCTGCCGGTCGACAAGCCGTTGAGGGCGAAAACTGGTTTTGGACGGCAGCCCGCGGCAGCCGACGGCTTGCGGGAAGCCTCCGCGACGCTAGTGTGCCAGGCCTTAGCTCATGCCGCATTTCCAGCACAACGTAAGGAATAGGGCAGGCTCCGTGATAGTTTCCAAGCAATTTCGCGTTCGCTTCTTTGTCGGCTCCTCCAGTTTGCTTTGACCAGAGCCTATAGACCTCTTTTGCAAAAACCTACATTAGCACTTAACTTACGCACCCTCGTCCCGGTGGATTTTCGGATTGCCCGCTGACACAGGGTATGCCACTGCCAAGGGTATGGAAAAGGCTTTGGAACGGACGTCGTGCTCGAGTTAAGGCCCATACGCACATTCGCGTTTGAGCGCGGTGCGTTCCGTAGCGGCAAGCGGACGCGTTGCGTTGCGAAGACCGCTTGCGCCAAACTAGTACGCACCTGTGCGTTGACACGCAGTCACCCGCAGTCAAGAGCCAATAAGAACGCGCTATCGTCGCTAGTGGCTCACCAATAGTAAGCGAAATCCAAGGCAACATGGCGGCGCACGGCGACAGCGTCGAAGTGTTCGATCTTGGGAGAATCTCGCCGGCTTCCCCGACGTTTTGTCAAGCTTGAAGCATCGCAGCCTTGAAAAATACAGTCCCCACCGCTCCCCAAAACGAAAAAGCAAGCACTGCGACCGGCGAACCGGATACGTCTCGCCGAGTCGGCCGGGTGGGGCGAGCGAACACGTCACCCCCTCTCCTCTTTCGGCTTCTGATTGGTCGAACGCACCCGAACGCACCGCAACGCTTCGGAAAGTTGAGCGAGTCTCTAGTCGCTTGCGTCGCGCTACCGAGCGTTGCGGGAAGGCGCGAGTCGCTCCGCAAGCGACCGCGCCTGGCCGCAAGGACTCCGCAAGGCACTCAAACGCGTTCAAACACGAATGTGCGTATGGCCCTTAAGGTCAGAGACTCGGAGTGCTTTTTTTTTTTCCGGGTTACGATTTCCAAAAACTACGGTTGTATGGTGATCGACGTGTTCAAAAATAATTTTAAGAAGAATAAGAACAATCCCGGAAAATGTGCAATGAGCACAGGAAGCTTGTCGTGTTTCCAATCAGGAATTGAGGAGTTCGAAGGTTGAAGCAGGCTTTTACTCAGCAGCATCACAGATCGTTCCGCCTGGTTCAATCTCCCGCGCTTATGTCTCCCCCGCGTGCCTCGTGTCTCCCGTACGTTGTCGATCGCCCAATAGTTCGCTTTGCGCCATCCGTGAATGAAGCGATACACGACACTTTCCTTTCTTGTGAAATGCGTTTTTTGCTTACAAGTTGAGGCGCTGCGGTGGTCTCCCTGCTCGGCCACTGTGTGTTCGGAAAGCTTCTCCTGAACCGCCTGCTTCTGCATTGCTGGGGATGTTTCCTTTAGTCTGTCTGTAGGTGCGTTCTTGTGCGACGCAAACTTCCAAAAGCTGTCTGCACTATGTAAGATCTCGGATTATGTGCAGGTCCCACAACGGTTCCTTGTTGCTGAGCCCCTGTCTGATGTAAACTATTGCCCCTGGCTGCAAGGATGATCTCTCTCTCACTCGGTGTCGAACATTGTAGTACGCTGCTTCCTTTTCTCGGAGAGCTTTGTTCCGTTGTCGGTACCTGAGTCTGTATCTCAATTTTGGCCCAAGTCTGTCAGGTATGGTCGGAGCATTCGTTTTTTAATCTTCGGCCCATAAGAAGTTCCGCAGTTGAGTAACCGTCGGGACCCTGCGTAGCTCTGTGTGCTAGAAGACCTTCGGCAACGTTGTCGGATTTTTTGAGGTTGTTCTTGGCTGTTTCAACAGCTCTCTCCGCCTCGCCATTGCTTTGTGCATGATGTGGGCCAGATGTCACTTGCTCTACTCCCCAGCCACTCAGAAATCGCTTAAATTCAAGTGAACTGTACTGCGGGCCGTTGTCCGACCGAATCAGATCCGGGACACCGTAACGAACAAACAGGTAATCGAGAAAATGGGTTTTATGCTTCATTAGGGTCCACTGACGTTCTTCGAGTTCCAAAACTTGGAGTAATAGTCAACAGCTATGATGTAACTCCTTCTTTCAAGGTGGAACAGGTCAGTGTCAACTACTTTCCATGGACGTTCCGGTAGAGGAGTCTGCAACAACCCTTCGGTTGGTACTTGGCGGTGTCTCACAGAGGTAGGGCATCTGCTCACAAATACCTCAATATGCTGACTGATTGCGGGTCACCATGCAGACTTTCTCGCCCTTGATCGACACCTGACGGCCCCCTGGTGTCCTTTGTGAAGGCGTTTCAACACTTCCTGGCGTAGTTGGGGGGAAAGACGAGTCTCGTTCCTCTGAGTAGGAGTCCCTTTACTACTGACAGTTCGTTCCGTACTTCTGGCGTTAATGTC